TCACAACGGACTCAGCAATCTGGACCGTTTTTCTTTGCAAAACTGTGTAGTCATTAGAGTAGTGTGTTATATTGGGTTTAGATGTGTGTTTTTTTACCAAGTTGGGAGTGACATTCTGGTAGGGGTAGGCGATATGACCAAAATTTGATATCACAGTATAGTCATTTTGTATCCATCCATCCATCTATCTCTCTATCTCTCTCTCTCTCTCTCTCTCTCTATATATATATATACAGTATATATATATAACAAATATATATATATATATATATATATATATTTGTTTCATATTTTAAATAACATTGTTAGAAAAATGCTTTTCAAAATATGTGCTGATGTGCTGATATTTTCCAAACCACGGTATACCTTGAAACCGGTTATCGTCCCATGCCTAGTCCTGACACATCTTGCACTGTATTTCTGAATTCAAACACGTTTCTTCATTGCTCTCTCGTGTAAATGACGAAGCAGACTTGATGCACAAATATGCCATCTGCTGTATAGTCATATCGCCCAGCCCTAATGAGGTGTGTGTGTGTGTGTGTGTGTTATGTATGCATCTGGAATACAGAGTTGAAAAACACAGAAATGTATTTACACCTTCATTAAACTGTATGTGTATGTTTGTATTTGTTGCAGGAAGATGCCCGGGACCATAGATGTGATTGGCGGACAGACTGCCTCCATTAGCAGGGTGGAAGGACGACGTCGCCACAATCTGGAGGGGAATAACATCCAGGTTACACGCATGACATGCTCTCATGCTCTCCTCAGTCTCCACTGTAAAACTGACATGCTGGAAACATATCTGGGAACTGAATCATGTGACTTTAACACTTGTAGGTGATCTCGGAACATCCCAGCTCTGAGGCTGAACCCGCCAAGATGCCTCCTCCTTTCTTTCCCCCGGGACCGCTGCCTCCAAACATCCCACCTCCTCCATTCCTCCCTCCTCCTGTCAGTCAGGCTCCACCTCTGATCCCACCTCCACGTAAGTCTGACGACTGTGAAATTGTATTAATTTATTTACTTTTTTTTTTTAATCCACGATGAATGTATGAAAAAATCACTTTCAAAACCATTGACACTGTGGCTTCTCATAGCATTTTTAACTCTTATTTTTTAGATTTCATTTCTTTTGTTACATTTTTATGTATTTGTTATGGGCTATGTGGTTTTGTAAGCAATGTTTTCATCTTTCTTTTTTTAAATTTTTTTTTTATTACAGGGATGCCCATCACCATTCCTCCACCCAGTAAGTTGAATGTGCAATAACATAACAAACATAGCAAAAGTAACTCAGGATTAACCTCTCAAATGTTTCCAAAGCACCTGTCTACTGTAACTGCAAACTTTCTGACTGTGTGTAAAATTTAATAACAAATCCCTTGTGTTTACTATTTTTACTGTTGATATGTCTCTGTTTAAATCTTGTTTCTGTTTGTGTTGTAGATTTTCCCCCTCCTACTGGAGGACCTCCTCCTTCACTTATCCCTACTATGGACAAGTAGGCATAGCTTCTGTACTCAACGAATAGTTTTTTCAACATTAGTGTACATCGACGGGTATTTAAAAAAAGAAGTTAATACTTCTATTCATCAAGGATGCGTTAAATTGATCAAAAGTGATAGGAAAGACTATTAAGCTGTCACAGAACACTGAAGAATAGAGTAATGGCTACTGAAAATTCAGCCTTGCTATCACTGGAACAAACTTTCTATTTTTTAAATAGAAATGAGATATTATTAAAGTAGATATTAGATTTTGTAAAAATAATTTTCATAATATTTAATTAAATATTTGTGTTTATAGTCTAACCAAAAATTATTCAGACACCAGATACAATTTTTGATGTCTTTTTACTTGTGGGTGCAGGACACTATAGTTCATTTATGTAAGTGATGATAGCAAAATAAAGTAAACTGTGACATATTATACCCGAAAATTCTTCATTCAGTGGACTACCAGTAAAATTGATAAAAATTTGGGACCAGAAATCATTCAGACACTTTGACCTGACCATGTTTTGCTTGAGTTTTTTTCTTTAATTGCTAATGCGACCTTTTTAACTCTGAGTTCTTGTCATATTTTCTTACCATTTTCTAAACGATAGCAAATAAACTGTGATAATGTGAGAAATGTTGAGGGTGTCTGAATAAGTTTTGGTTTGACTGTATATAATAATATAATTGTTTGTTTTTAGGGTCCTGTATTTAGATTTAAATACATACAGTTTTTGAAATGTAATTTTCTGTGAAACTATGTCTCTACGTTACCCTTAATTGACACTTTAACACTTCATTAATTGCCTGTGTGTTGTATTTAGCAGTGGGCACCCAGGAGGATATGACGGACGTCCTGTTGCTCCATACCCTTTTCCTACAGGTAAGTGTGAGACTATCTCCCCAGTCTATTCACCTGAAAAACTCATTTAATTTAGATCTCAGTACAGATCACAAGTGCTTAAATACTTTCCAGGCTTTATTAAGCTCAGTTAAATAGCATGCGCACTGGGGATTGTTTCGTTTTCAGGTGGGTTTCCTCCACCCATGCAAGGAGCTGTTAACCCCTGGCCTGGTTTGATGGACAACCCAAAGCAGTGGGACTACTACCCTCGGCGAGACAAAGAGAGGGAAAAAGAGCGAGAGAGAGAGAGGCCGAGGGAAAGGGGTCATGAGAGAGACCATAGTCCCTCTGCTGTGGTTTATAACAGGTGAGGGATGATGCCAACCCACTCATTCACTATACAGATGTACTCTGTTTTTCAGTTTGAAAGTGTAGAATTGTTGATAAACTGACAGATGTAGACATTAATTTAAATTCTTATTGTGTATGTTTCATCAGTAAATTTTATTCCAAAGAAAAAAAATCTTTGACCCTCTCCAGGTTTAAATAATTAGTCATAGTTTCTCTGGTTCTGTGTTTAAGCTCTTGATGAATTAAACTTGGTATTTTGCAGTGATGAAGAACGGTATCGTTCTTACCGTGATTACGGAGACAGAGGGTATGAGAGGCATCGGGAGCGATCGAGCCGTGAGAAGGAGGAGCGTCACAGGGAGAGGAGACACAGAGAGAAAGAGGAAGGGAGGCACAAGTCATCACGGAGGTACTATACCAGGGTCGGAAATTAATGGAGGCTTGGGGGAAAAAATGGCTCCAAAATGAATAAAAATGCCCACAAATTTTGAGATATGGGGCAATATTTTTTGCTCTTGAGTGCCAATGAAATTAGTTCCAAACAAAGCCACAGCAGCACTACTGCACATCGCCGGACACAGCAATGTTTTGTTTCCTGAATAAAGAAATTATTCACCCAAAAATGAAAATTCCGTAGGGAAAAAAAAATACTGTGGAAGTCAATGGGGACCAGCTGTTTGGTTACCCACATTCTTCAAAATATCTTTTGTGTTCAAAAGAATGAATGATTTGGTTGAGTGAATGATTCAATGATCCATTCATAAGACAGTCTAAATGAATCAGCTGTTTTGAACAAATGAACCGAATGAGTGACTTGATGACTCACTTGTTAAGACTGTGGCTGTGTCCAGTAATCTCTGAGTAGGTAAAAAAAAAAAGTAGGTACTTTTGACAAAGTAATTTGTGAGTGTTAAAAAAAACGTATGTTCTATGTAGTACGTTTGGTTTAAATTCATACTATATTCGCCATCATGTTATTGTCATATGACAATATTTATATTTAAAAGTATCTTAAAAGTATACTTAACTTTTCCCATAACATAACATCACATTCATAAATAAATGTTTCATTTAAAATATTCATCTAATTATTTATGCAATTGTAAGATGACTCTTGTAAGATACATTTAATAAGGTTAGAAAAAAATACCTCTGGAAATCAATTTAAAGGGTAACAACACAATCTGAAGTTCTCTGTTTTGTTTCTACTGTTACAGCAGTAGCAGACGGAGACATGACAGCGAGGAGGGTGACAGTCACCGGCGCCACAAGCACAAGAAGTCCAAAAGGAGCAAAGAGGGCAAGGAGCCCAGTGAGGAGCGTTCTGCTGACCAGGAGAACCAGGAGGCCATGGAGTAACTCCTGTCTGTCTTCTCCGCTCTCCTTTCTTATCATCAGAGCGTTGGTTGTCAACCAAATCATGCTATATGAAATTATAATCCAGTTTACCTTCCTTTTGTTTTCATGTTTCCCTTTTTTTGTTTTGCTGTTTTTCTCCAGTGCAGTTGTACCATGTAGATGTTGATTTGTTGGATTAAAAAAGAGCATTTGGTAGTGTTTGTTGTGTCTTTTCATATCTTGTAAATTAGCTGTTTTTCACAACTTGTGAGCAGTGTACACAGTTTTTTTTTAGTCTTTTACACTCAACAAGCCTGCATTTATTTGATCAAATAAATAAATAAATTTTATTTTGTGAAATATTGTTACAAATTAAATAAGCTGTTTTCTATTTGAATATATTTAAAAATTTGCGTTAAATCTTTGTTTGCAAAGCTGAATTTTCATCAGCCATTACTCCAGTCTTCAGTGTCACATGGTCCTTCAGAAATCATTCTGATGGGCTGATTTGGTGGTCATGAAACATTTCTTATTAATATTATTTTAAAAATACTTAATATTTTTATGGAAGTGATACTTTTTTCAGAATTCATAGGTAAAGTTCAGCAGTTATTTTGTCAGTTTAAATGATCAGTTTCTTGGCAAGTTGTGTGTTATTACATGCTAAATATTAAAATGTGCAAATATTTAGAACCATTAGGATTTGTTTAATGAAATATTTAATTAAAAAGCTTGGTAGATTATATTTACTATACTGTATAAAATGGTACTTGTATGTATTTTGATGTACCTCTGAAAATAGTAAATGCAGACCAAAAGGGAAACAGGTTTTGAATTCTGGTACTAAATCATTAAACTTTATGTTTTTAAAGTGCTGAGGCAGGGATGATTTTACCAGTTAAAGAATGCAGGCCGTCTGAGATGAGAAAGCCTCAATTACATGTTCTCGCGATGTATCCCGAGATCAACCCGCACGAGATTTTCGGCGGATGTTGATGTTTTGCTCCGGATTTCTGTACCGTCGTTTCTCTTCTCGGTCGTGCGATCTGCGTTATTGCCAATATTTGCTTAACGTGAGCGAAACACGGTCTTTCTCGGCGCTTCTTTCGGGAAGCAAAGAGGCCGAGGCGGGGGGCGATGATGGAGGACTTTGATGAGATTTACGAGGAAGAGGAAGAAGAGGACGAGGACAGGGCCGCGGAGGAGCAGCTGCTCAAATACGCTCCGGACCCGGTGGTAGTGCGCGGATCCGGGCACGTCACTGTGTAAGACACCGGCAGCTCTGGATCTATTCGTACATAACGTTGATTAATTGATCAAACCAAAGCCGTTAGGAGCACATGAGACATGCTAAGTGTCATTACAACAACCAAGAAAATAGTGGTAGTGTCCTAGACTCATAGTTTAACAACCTAGAAAGCATTTTAAATCTTCAGTTGCACATACGATGCTCCTAAATGCTCGGTTTTGACAGGGCAGCTTATATATTGTACATTTAAAGGGATAGTTCACCCAAAAATGAAAGTCCTGTGATCGGTTTCTCACCCTCTCGTTGTTCCAAACCTGTGTGACTTTCTATCTGCTTTTCTTTTTGACAGCCTCAGTCATCGTTTACATTTTTGTCCATGCTATGAAGGAAATGATGACTGAGGCTGTCATTTTGTGTGTGTGTGTATGTGTGTGTGTGTTACATAGAAGAAAGTAAGTTATGAAACCTTCATTTTTGTTGTCTAGTACCTGGGTTTTTATCTTTTAGATACCACAGAACCTCAAATATGATTTGTGCAAGGGATACTAAAATTTAAAAGGCATCTATATAGTTTCTGGTATAAAGACTTAATCTATACTGTGAAAAATAAATATTATAAATCTAAAATGTCTAAAATATTAAGCAATGTAGCTTAACAGAAACTAAATCTGTTCCAAATATTTCCTTCTAAATAATTACATTGTGTTTTTTTTACACGACAGTACTGCACTGTTAGATTTATTTACTCATTTGTTTACTTATGAATTTTTATTTATTTATTTTAATCAAATATTATTTATGTATTTATTTTAATATTTTTTACATTATGTTTTTCTGTAAACTGTTACACAGACCCCTAGCACTCCCTTGCGGTCCCTGGTCTTGTATAATAAAATTAATCAATATATTTTAGTATATAGAGTATTGCAGTAGATATACAATAAATCTACTTATGCCTTTGTGGACATTTAAGTTTGAGTAATTAAAATCGAAAACATTTTAAATAGTTTTTTTTCTTCCCTGCAGGTTTGGACTGAACAATAAATTTGAGTCTGAATTTCCCTCAGCCCTTACAGGAAAGGTAAGTGACAAGTGTAATTTTAGTGGTTGTTCGTCTCAAGAAAATACTGTTAAATGCATAATTATTCACTAATCCCAATGAGAAGAAGTGAAAAGCGTTGTTGCTGGCAATCAGAAACGAAAGGAAATAATTCTGTTAATGCTGTTACTTTATATAATGCTTAAAGAAATTATTCGCCCCAAATTTTTGTGGAACACGAAATGAGATGTTTAGCAGAATGTTCAAGCTACTCTTTTTCACGGTAACATGGTTGTCAAGCTCCAAAAAGTGTGTATTACCCAATGTGGCGAGTACTACCACATGTAATTTTGAGGTCACACATGGGTTATTAGAATACTGCTTCATTTGTTCATTGGCAGGTCGCACCGGAGGAGTTCAAAGCCAGCATAAACCGTGTGAACAGCTGTCTGAGGAAGGCTCTCCCAGTGAATGTGCGCTGGCTGCTGTGTGGCTGTCTGTGCTGTTGCTGTACTCTGGGCTTTAGTCTGTGGCCGGTCATCTGTCTGAGCAAGAGGGTGAGTGTGTTCAGAGTCACTCGCTTAATGGAAGTTTAGCTTTATCGAAAGCATTTGTGGCATGTTGTCAGGGTTAGAAAAAATGCAAATAGTGGGTGTTTAGAAATGCATCTACAGCGGAAATCTGTGGGTTAGGGACGTAATTTTTGTGTTTAATACAGACAGTTTTGCAGTTTTAATTCAAAAGAATAAACAAGTGCTTTAACAGAAATACAAACCTTACATTTAAACACATAGTATGTCTTACATTTTATTATTTTTTCCTTTTTTTGACAGAATGAGGGACAAAATTGTCTTGGATAACTGACAACAGTAGACCTGGTCAGGTTTTTTTTTAGTGCTGTCAAACGATTCGCATCCAAAATAAATGTTTTTATTTACATAATATATCTGTGTGTACTGTGTATATTTATTATGTATATATAAATACACACAGTGTATATATACTGAAAATATTTACATGCATGTTTATTTATATTCATATAATTTATATTATATATAAATATATTTAATATATAGACGTAACATATTTTTTAAAAATATATACATGCGTGGGTGTGTATTTATATATACATAATGTACACAGTACACACACATATACTATGCAAACAAAAACCTTTATTTTGGATGCGATTAATTGTTTGACAGCACTAGTTGTTTTTTTTTAAAGAAATTAATGATCAATCGTGACAGTAATTATATTTAATTACAATCTTACAAAACATTTATATTTCAAATAATTGCTGTTCTTTTGAAACGGAACAGCAGAACAGTTGTTTTCAACTTTGATATTAAAGGGTTAGTTCACCCAAAAATCCATCCTAGGTGTATATGACTTTCTTCTTTCAGACGAATCCAGTCAGAGTTATATTAAAAATTGTCTTGATCGTTCATGCTGTTTCATGGCACTCAGCGGGTGTTGCATGCATCAGTCCAAAAGAAGTGAAATAAAAAGCGCCCATTCATTAAAAAAAAGCATCTCACACGGCTCCAGGGGGTGAACAAACGCCTCCTGTAGCGAATCGATGCGTTTTTGTAAGAAAAATATCCATATTCAAAACATAATAATCACTTTAATCTAGCTTCGCCAACAGTCCTACACGGAAGCAGCTCCAGGCGGATGACGTATGAGGTCAGCGTTGCACATGCGCCGGTGAGTCTCGTGAAAACCAACGTTTGTTAACAGGAGCAAAGGAAGCAA